GGAAGCCTGCTTCTCCCTTTCCCACTCCCCCTGCTTGTGTTCCCTCTCTCGCTGTGTCTCTCTCTGTCAAATAAATAAATAAAAATCTTTTAAAAAAAAAAAAAAAGGACTTCATCTTCCTAGTACCTTTGTATCTTCTAGGGCATTTGAAATAACAAGGTGCCCAAGTCTTTACTAATGTTTCAATAGGGAGAATCTAAATAATTTTTGTATATTTCATTGTGGATTTTCATCATCCATCACAGTGACTGGAACACAGTAGGCCCTGTAGTCACCCAGTTCTCAGGTAATTCTTATCTAACTCTCGTCTTCTCCTTAGTTGGCACTGTGATGTCCCCCATAATATTCTTTTTAATATTGCTGTATCAGTGTTTAACTTGCAGCTTGGTATTTCTGCTGCTGACCTCATGCATTGGGTTTTTTACCTAATTAAGTGAAAGCAATTCTTTGTAAGAACAGTGCCTCTCTCAGCCTCTTCCCTAAGAGGTTGTGGACAGTGATTTGTCCTCCTGAAATGGGCCAGCTATTCTTTTTTAGGACAAGTTCAAGAAATGTTATCACACAGATGACAGAAGTTCTCTTTGCAGAAACGGCTTTCTCAGCCCTTCATCTGTTCGTAATTAGAACTGACGTGCGATCAGATTTCCTGGTGGTTGACAGTGACGAGACTTTGGTTCTCAAGGAATGTGTTCTTTTCAGCCTGAACTATTGAAGAATCTTGCTTTCACACCCAGAGCCGCCGACCAGTTCTCTCTTCCCTTCTAGAAATGACGCTGCTCTCCTCCCAGTCTTCATCACCAGTGGCCCTTCCTGGGTCCGTGTACACTGAAAACCCAGAGCAGAGGATGCTGGAGAAAAGAGCCAAGGTGATAGAAGAACTCCTCCAGACGGAAAGAGACTACATTCGGGATCTGGAAATGTGCATCGAGCACATCATGGTGCCCCTGCAGCAGGCACAGGTGGGAGCTGTGAGAGCAAGTTCGCTTTACCGAGAACGTGATTCCCCCAGCCTGGAGCGCTAGGGTGTGGCCGCGTCCACCGCAAGGGTTACTGGGTTTGAAATAAACGCTGTACGGCTGCTGCTCTTAACTGCAGGGCCCTGATGTGCCTGTCATCAGCTTAAGCTTTCAGCGTCCTGTCACTTCTCAAGACTACTGTTAACTTGCCAGACTTGCTGCAGTAGCTCCCAGGACATGTCCTGCTTCCGTGGCTCCTAAAGACACTCCTAGGCAGTCTGGGTGGTCATGGCATTGGGACGGTGGCCTAATAATGAAGTCTGGGGATGATGGGTTTGGTGGCTCTCGCACCTGACGGTACAGCGTTTATTCAGGAAACCCTGCCCGTCAGGTGTGTACCAGCTACTTGTCTAGATGCTGGAGGTAGGGAAAAAAGGTTAACAGCCTCCTGGGGGGATTTACTGTCCTTACTGCTTGTTACTAGACCATCTGGGCCTGGCTTGGGTTTGTACTTCTAGAACACTCACTCCTAAGAACTAGTATAGGAAGTGGGCACTGCCATCAGATTTTGGGTACTGCGTGGGAATTTGTATCCCAACATAATTCGAGACCAGACTGGTAACAGTCCTTTTATTAAGGTAGTGGGGGAGGGGGTCGAGCAGAGAGTAATTGGATCAGGGACAAAGAGTGACACTAGAGATAATGTTGGCATGCTTCTCTCCTGGAATCTTGGTGACAGTGAGTGAAGCTGACTTTGAACAGTTTTGTACCATCCTTGAAGAGATGTTCCTAGTATGAATGGCATGCCATTAATTTCATTTCCATGCATCTTTACGTTTTGTTTCCCTTTCTCAGATACCAAACATCGACTTTGAAGGACTTTTTGGAAATATGCAGATGGTGATTAAGGTCTCAAAGCAGTTATTGGCTGATCTGGAAATCAGCGATGCTGTAGGTATGAGCTCCTGCCATTGCTTCAGAAGTGGCTTCCCCACCCCCCCCACTTTTTGTTAAACTTCACGGGTAGGAGGTAAGGGGTGAAGCAGCCTTGCTGGTTCTAAGTGGGAAAATGAAGTTCTAGCTACTTAGTTCAGAGGTCACTTGGCCGTCTGCTTCTCCTTTTATCTACAACCTACTTTGAGGTGCCACAGGGTGTTAGCAATAGAAGAGATTTTAGGTGTTGCATAGCGTGAGTTTTCCAGACCGAAGGTTGCAGCCTGTTGGTGGGTCATGAGATCACTAGAGCAAGTTGCACCCGGTATATACTTTTTTCAATAAAATAAAATAGAAAATATCAGAATGTACTATAAAGAATAAGCACAGCTACAGCTTTTTGACACTCATGTCAACTCTACATATAAGTATACTGAGTCATGATTTAAAATGTTTTCGCTCGTGTGGGTCATTGTTAAGAATGTTTGAAAAACAGTCATCTGTTTTTAATCAACAAAGGAACTGTATTAGTTATCTATTGCCATGTAACAAATTATACCAAACCTTAGCAGCTTTAAATCAGAAACATGTATTATGCCACAGTGCCTGTGGCCCAGGACTCCAGGAGTGGCTTAGCTGGGCAGCTCTGGCTCAGCATCTCTCCTGAGGTGGGGGTCAAGCTGTTGGCCTGGACTACCATCCTCTGGGGCTCACAGATCCACTTCCGAGGAAGCCCACTCAGCTCCTCAGGCCCTCATTCCTTGCCTTTGAGTGTCTCCATGGACTGTCCTCAGGACATGGCTGCTGGCTTTCCCCAGTGAGTGATCCAAGAGGGACAGAAGACTCAAGATGGGAGACCCACAATGTCTTCTCTAACCTGATCTGGATATGACACACTGTCACTTCTGCCATATTCTGTTGGTCACACAGACCAGCTCTGGTACAACATGGGAAGGGACATCCTACCATTTTGCTGTTTTCCTGGAATCATGGTCACAGGATGCTACCGCAGTTCTAGCCATCCCCCTACACACATGACAACATCCAGCAGAAGGGAGAAGTGACCCTGTGTCATTTAAGAGTGAGCAGAGCTTTCCCAGTGCTCCCCTGTCAGCTTTCTCTTTATTTCTCATTGGCCAGAACTGGGTCACGTGCATATGCCTAAGCTGATGACTGAAAAGGAGAATGGGGTCATGATGTTGGCTTACACTAGGCAGTGTTTACCTGACTCACCTGGGAGGGGAACGGACACAGGAAAGCTTTGGCGAGCCACTAGCAAAAGGCAGGTGGGCATGAATTACATAAGCAGTGTTTGGGGAGGTCAAGTTTATTTTAATATATTTCTTTGTTTTTTATTTTAATATAGTTCTAATTTAACTTATTTTTAATACATTCCCGTGGCACACAGAAAGTTACAAAGAACTATTTAATGAAAAGGCTCTTACCCATTCCCTAGCCACCAGCTCTTCAAACCAGAAGCACCCAGGGTTATTAGTTTTCTTCCGTTGCCTTCCAGAGAGTTTATTATATACCAGCAATTACATACATATTTTCTCTACCCTGGGCCCCCATCTCCATTTTTTTTTTAAATCACACAAGTGGTAAGGAATTATTCAAACTGTTCTACACGAAGCCTTCTCCCACTCCCCCCTCAACCCTTAACAATGTACCTTCCAAGCAGTTTTATGAGCCAGGAATAGAAATGGAAAAGTATACGGAGAGGGGGATAACTCAGCAAAAAAATCAGGGTAATGCAGGGTGCTGGCGAAAGCAGCGCGGAACTCGCATTAGTAGTCTGACTGGGGAAGGATTCTAAGTGCAGGCAGGACAGGATTTAGTGAGGGAGGAGAGAATGGGACGTGCTCAGGGCTTGGCTGAGTAAGGAGATGAGAAAAAAGCACCAGGAGACTCTGGGTACGTAGTATTTTAAATTATTTTACACCTATCTCACAGAAAGAAATCTGTTTTACATCGTGACCCAGGATTCGTGTGTGTGTGTGTGTGTGTGCGCGCGCGCGCACGTGTGTGTGCTTGGACTGTGTCCAGCATTGCCTGAGATTTTCTTTTCTGTGCCATTTTATTTCCCCAAAGTGCTGAATGTGACCCACAAAGTAGATCGCATGACCCATTTATGGGTTGTGACCCCAAGTTTGAAGAACGCTGGAAATTTAGGTGGCGCTTTGCTAGCTGGTCACTGATGTAGAGCTGGGGGCACGGCAGCAGCATGCTCACGACAGTTCTGGGAGGTTCTGGGAATGTCGGTAGGGAAGGGTACAAAGGAGTAACGTGAGAGAAGACGGCAGGCGGGTATCGGATATAGGGACGTTGGTGGTCAGGGCTCCCAGGGTGGTCCTGAAGGTCAGGAAGGCAGCCAGCCCGGGGCGCCGCCGAGCCTGCTGAGCTGCGGGGAAAGGCAGAAGCGAGGCTGCCCCGGGGAGGGCAGCGTGAGTGGGATGTTTGTGAAAAAA